TGTGACCTTCAACTGGGTTCATTGAGTGCCTACGCGGTCCGGATGCTAGCCTACTTTGTTACGCATACAGAACATCTGTCTTCGCCAGGTGGCGGATGTCTATACACTCATAGCGTCGTCGCAGGTGTCCGCCGAAACGCACTCACAGGTCGATGCGGGGTGTATGGTTGGAGTTCACGCATGTTCTCTAATTCGACCGGCAGTTTCGGACACGGCGTTTCTAGCGGTAACTGATCGCGATATGATCGATTTGCGTGCTTGTATGGTTCGAGACCGGTGGGCGCCATATCATCGCTCTGCGACTACCATAAATGAACCAGCCAGTGGGACTGCGCACATCCGACTACTAAATGGGATCCATACTACAAGGTCAACTTCAGCCCGGGAGCACATAGAAGGACCCACATCTGTTTGAGCAGCGTTCGAAACCGCATCATCTCCGGATAAACGCAGTGAAGAAGTACCGCTAGTGTCACTTGAAGAGGAGGAGCACAGGGCTGGAGTCTTACAGACGGGTTTCCGATGAACGACAGATATCGATCGATGGGGATTTTTAGTGCTCGGATAAATGCTGCCCCTTGGCCGATCTACAGCAGAGTACGCACGTTGAGGCATTTCAGCCTTGACATGTATATACTACACCGGTGATGCTCCGGAGGCTGCGATAATAAAAATCGACAGACTCGGAACATCACCCACTTGGATGGGCCAGATCTCGCAGTCATACGGAAGTGCTGTTCGTACCGTAACCTTGTAAACTCGACCTTTTGGTGAAAGATTGAGATTACGCCGGCGCCAGAGATGTCAGAGGTATAGCAGACATTGCTCTGTGTTTGGTGATGCGCAAATTGATCTCGTCCGTCAATCCGTTCACGCTAATGCAACTCCGAAGGTAAACGAATTTGTTGGCTACTTCCGAAGAAGAGCCGGAAGATTGAGGGCAGGGGTAGCTTCTAACCATTTCTAGAGGAAAATCTTGCAGTTGGAAAGAGCAAAGGTCATTCCTAACTGTGAGCCACACTTCCCTAACCTGCGCAGCATGTAATGAGCAGTTAACGAGGAGTCATAAATTACGGCGATGTCGTCATCATACGGAGTCGATCACCTGGGAGTAACCCGACTCTACCACCTCCAACGTTTTCCGGAGAACACTCTAAAATTTCATCCCTAGCGATGTTGAACAAGAAAGGTGATGCGGAACAACCCTTATTTTCTCCACTGGAGATATTAAATGGGGACAAAAGTTCGCAGTACACCCACACACTCGAGAATAAATGGCTTGAAGAATGTTAGTCTGCTTCTCGAGCACTCCCTTTCTCAGTAGACAACTCCAGAGAGCTGTGCGTATGTCCAGGAAGTAAACAAGGATAGATCGGTTGAGTCGGCCGGTGGCCGAATGGTATGCACGTCTGGTTTGCAACCATAAGGTCACCGGTTCCAATCCGCGTAGGGGCGGGCGTCCTCGCGGTATACTCAGCCCACGCGCGACTGGTGGTGGTCGCGTGGCAGCGAAGCACCGTTACGGCGTACAGCTGGCGATTTATTATGATTATTATTATTATTAGGTCGGTTGAAAGCTCGACAGTGCTTGAGCTTCTGGTGGGTCGTAAGGATGGGATCAATACAGCTCCGACCTCTACGAAACCCAGCCTGTTCTTTGCGTATGCGCTGTTCACATGGAGGCGAGCACTTTGGACGCAACGCATAGCAGGCTGATCCCCCGATAGTTTTTGCGCTCTGTTCGGTCATCTTTGTTGAAGATGGACACAATTTCCGCTAAGCCTCAGCCAGATGGAATGATTGCTGTGGTTCAGTTCTTCTGAATAAGTTTAACCATTTCAGAAAGAAGTGGCGAGCAACTATACTGGAAAAGACCTTGAGGCAATTCATCGGGACCGGGTTATTTGTGATGATTTAGAATACGAAGCTCATAGGCGACCTCGACTTCAGTTGGCGGAGCGGTACATACACACCGGGGATCATTCTGGGTACAATAATGGAAACTCTATGACAATGGAAGTCATTTAGACTGCTGTTCGAAATGCTCTGCCCAACGTACAAATCGGCGTTGGTGATTGTGAATTGGTTCGCCGCTAGTTTCACACACCACTTGGCTTACAGTTGCTTTCTTGCCACTGGTGGATAGGGTGAGAGAAAATTGTCTACGGAAGTTCACTGAAGGTGCAACTAGTTCTATCTCGATGACGCGCTGTGTCCACCAAGCTGTGCGACCTCCCCTGAAGACGTGCTTGAGTTCGGCGTTGGTAACTTTTCACAATGAGTTATACTCAACATCAGCAGAAATTGTCCGACGGTCTTCCATCAGTTGGACAGACCGAACGAAAATTCATCAACTGATGGTGTGCTTAGCGAAGCCACAGATGATGCTGGCAGACTTCTGCACGGCACTGCGGATGCATATCCAATATGTCTCAACATCTGGTAGTGAAGGGCACCAGATTAAAAACTAACGAATTTCGAAAAGCACTAAAAATATTTGGAACGGCAAGTTTGACCACTTTGGCGCACGTAAGTGCGTGAGCAGAGGTAAGAAAAGTGCCCCAAATAGATTTACAGTCTTGCCCATCGTAATTGATGGCGATGTGGTCAGTATGCGTTCATGACTGTCCAAATGTAGAGCGTCGCCAGGTGCTGCACTGGCGCCAGGATCGTCGAACGTTTATGCTCGAGAGGAATAAACCGTGATTCGCCCAAAGCTGTGCAACGTGATCTCCGTTGTCCGTACTTCGAGTACCATGGCCATCCAGACCACTGAGGTCTTGTTTCTCAGCTTCGAGCCCACCGACCTGCTCGTTTAGATACGCGGCGAGCACTACGGTATCCGTGCGGCATTTCTTGTGGAGGTCGGACAGCTAACGGTTGAACTCATCTTCTGCTAAGTCCGAACTGCAATACATATGAGCATACGGCGCTACGACAAACAAGCAACGTTTGGTAGCCTCTCGGCTGAAAAATGGTACGGAGCTTACTAGCCTAATTGCACAGTCAGCTAGTAACTGGGATCCGATCAAGTGGTGCTGCTTCAGCGTGCACTTAATGCAGTTCCTACACTGGCCAGGCCCGCGGTTTCCGCAGTTGCGTTCCTTTATAAGCGTGGCGTTCATGTGAGGTGGGCGCACACAGAAGGTGGTTTTAGTCGTAGGGTTATCCTGGAGTCCTGTTAGCGAGTCTCAGTGAGGCTACATATGTCGATGGAGAGGGTTTCCGGAGTGCGAGCAATAGCTGTATGCGGCCCTATCTGCATGTGCGTCCGGATATTGTAAGTCGCCAACTTGAATTGCGTGGCACGTGGACGGTCTAGAGCTGTTCATCGACACGCTTAGAACTGTCTCTCAAGGTGACGCATTGTTGTAGACGACATCAGAGATGGATTATCAGGCATACACGAATACAACTAACTAAACTAAACTGAACTAAACATGTTGCAGGTGGTGCAGTAGGACATTATATAGCAGAGCTGGCCACCAGCACCTCGGCCGAAGACAGCGTAAATAGAGAGTGGCATTTCCTTGGTTCATATTCATGTGTTGGGTGGGCAGAGAGCTTCTCGGTTGCCCAGGTCAAGGCAGAGGGTTGGCTTAGGCTACTTCCCCATAGCCTGGATCGCGAGCTCCAAACAGAAACACATGAACTGGGGTTGTCTGAATGTTTGCACATGCATATGTCAACAGGGAGAAGTGACGCTGCGCGGTTGTAACTTGAGATTAGAAGACAGGTGTCTACCAGAGCTAGGTAAGTGTTGGCCAAGATTTGGGGATTTGAAAGCATTGTGGATAAAAGTGAAATCGGAACGGGGCTATAATGATGTAAAGGCGTAAGGTGGAGAATAATAAGACTGCAAGGCGTAAGCACTAGCATCCTCATCCCTATTCACCTTGCTCGATGCGAAAGATGGGTCGCTGTCGATTATCTTCTGCGACGGGCGTTTAAAATTTGTTTGAAGAAAAGGTCGTACTATTGCGTAGGTTGGATGATGTCAGCTTGCCCAGGCCTGGTCAGGATAACGACTAAGGTTCTCAACATATGACTGTTGTTCAAAAACCTCTCCGCAAAGCAGTGGGGTTGCATAAGTGAGCTACGAGATGTCTGTTTTAAGATATATGGAATCATCCTCATTCTATTCCCCAACCTAGAGGACCAGGAGGCTGTTTTTCTGGTCTCTAACCGCTGTCCAATGTGATGTGACTCTGACGGTGCAAATAGCACCACTTAGCATAGCTCGATGAATCGTTTGGACACACAGACTATTGTGCCACCTTAAGGTCATCTCATTGCGATGGCGCTTCTGGGTTCATGGCTACTGATAACCTATTTTCAGTTTTTTCCCCAATCTATCACTACCTGAGTTGCAGGTATAATACATCCCCTTTAGGATTACTCTGATGGGTGCTATCGGGCACTCCAGCCATCCGACTAGTTGCGCATAGTCACATCGTGTTGGCTGTCATTCAGTTGAATGGGTCGGCGATTATTTTCCCGGTTGATTGTCGTTAAAGAGGCATCTGATTGCTGTAGATCAGAACACTGTTCCATCATTTGGCGACCCTTCTAATAAATCGAGCCACGGAGTGGTCTGTCGTGTTCCTTTGGCTTTACTCTTCCCTTTGTAGGCCGTAGCTGCTCACCAGCGGTGCTTATGAGGTATTCTGCTTTTTCTTGACCGTTTGGAAGTGCTGGTATCGACGCTGCTGTAAATTGCAGATTCTTGTTGCCACTCTCTACAATGCCAACGCGTATTCTACTGATGTCCATTTACCTGGTAGACTAATCCACATTCGCGTACCAGCAGATTCTCCTATCCTTGTTACTAAACCACCCCACGACACTTAACATAAGGAGGAATGAATGGAGCATGCGTTGACATTTTCTCCTTTATGACACAACCTGACCCACTTTCTATGCCAAATCCACACAAAGTTCATTTCAATTACCCTAGTCGGTTTGCCCGTTTATTTGGCCCTTCCTGTTTTTCCTTTCCAGTTGCATTTCGGAGTTCACTGAAATTTCATGAAGTGAAAAGCTCTACTTCGCGCTTACTTCCAGCCTATTCTGCTCCGTCGCTGTTCTTATAACTTTTCTATCAATTCCCTGTGCTCCCGACTGGAACACAATGGTCAACATCTGTATCACCCCTTCGTGTGGTCGACCTTCCACCCTTCGTTGTCCTACATGCATCCAGATGGGAATCACCACATCATTCTTTTGCTCTCAGGTTTGAACTGCGAACAGCATTGATGTCTCTCAGGAATGTTTCGAGCAATTCTGGAAAACACACAAAAAAATTCATTCGGCTACAAAAGTCCCCTCGAATATCGATAAAAATGCAGATGAATCTTTCGAAGGCTACGCGTTTACAGGATCTCTGCGACCAGCAGCGAAGGTAACTCCTCTTATACTGTATCACCACCCTTTCCCAGACGCCTACTAGGAAGGTGCCAAATTCGATTGGCCGCCCGGATTATGCAGATACTGGTATGCACATGGCTATACACGTTGCTTAACTTTTAGGAATTCCTCTTTCTGAGCGACAGGCTAAAAGCTCACACACAATACTAGTCTTGGATGATGATGAGATGGAAAGCATGCGCGTGACCTCCAAGGTAAGTGTCTAAAGTTGACTCCTGCTTGGTGCCACTTAGTCCCAAATAATTTTACTCCAATGATGAAGTCGCAGTTTTTCCCCTTTTGTTGCTCGTTATACAGTAGGGTTGGGAGTAGTCTACATTGTTCACTAATTACCTTACTCAACTGTCTCTATGTCTTGTTTGCGTATGATACACCTATTTAGGTTCATCCGCCCAACGCCCAGGTGAAGATTTGACAGACACGCTAAGACGATCGGTAAATCGATCTTAGGACGCTACTTGGCCGACCCCTTCAGTCTGAGGATCTGAGACGCTTTCAAGTCTTTGCTCATCGTTGCCTGCGAAGCACTGCTAGTGTCGGGTGACACCAGCATGTCCGCATCGATGATGTGCGTAAGCGGATACTAGGCAATGATAACCAAGCTAATTCCTTAGAACAACACATAGCACTGAGTAAGTTGCGTTGGCTTAGTCACGTGCTGCTTATGCCTGTTTACCGTCTACCAAGGAAAGCCTTACTTTGTCTGCCAGATGTGGGTTGTCGCAAGACTCGAGGTGGACAAAATTGACTTGGCAGCGGGAAATGAATTCACTGACGATCAAGCTCGGTGCCGTAGGTCTGTCTCACCTTTCAGCCTAGAGTCCACGCGACCCGTTTTATGCTTGGCTCGAGACTTTACTGGACATGGCTGGCAGTCGACACCAGTGGCGCGTCTGCTGTCGTCTCCTAGTCGGACTGCCTGTTTAAAGTGTGTTTGATGCTGAGTTATCTGCCGAGTGAAAGCCGCAACGAAGCTGTCTGGCTGATGCCGCCTTAGGTTTAAAGATAGCCAACTGTTCGGGACAGTACGTTGTTGACAAGTGTAGGGGCCTTGACTCTGGGTATTTGCTTGGGGCATTAAGGTTTTCTGTTAAGCCCCCCTTCTCTCCATCTTATTATTCTTCATACCATCGGTCGCTATGGTTGTATGGCAACGAACCATCAATCCAATTGTCTGATATACTGATGTTGATGATTATGATGAGTCAGTCGGCGCATTCGCTAGGAACCGTGCCCAGTCTGACCTGTAGTCTGGTGTCATTTCACTAACTCCATTATTCTTAATTGACTATCTGGCAAACTGTAAGCTTCATTCGTTTACCCAGAGTGTTGCCTTCATTAAGGCAACGTCTACTTACTTTTTGCGCTGTTCCTTTGGGTACATTAGTAGACAGCGAGGCCACATCGAATCTTATCATCCACTCATCTGAATCGATGGTGTGACTTGATATCTTTACTACAAACTCGTAAGTTTCCTACGAATCTAATCGCCTGCCATGTCAGAAGGTGGAATAGCTTTCAAATGTCTAGCGAGCTTTTTTCAATGAATACATCAGTCGAGGGTTTCTAAGCCTCTCTGAACTCATCTTTCCAGCCGGCCAGTGACCTTAAGAATCACGAGCCTGCCATTTAGTCCGAGGGCACGGATCCGAGCCCGCGTAGGCGACCAGGCGACTCACGACTGTTGACGGTTGTGCGGCAGCAAAGCTTTGCTGCTGCCTACCGGCGTACTACTGATACCGTTGTGTTTTCAACGGGTTTATCTTGCTTCATAACAGTTAGCAGATTACATGCATTAATTTACCAGGGAGCTGCAATTTTGTTTTCTTATGAAGTGTAACTCGAATCAGCTGATTTCCTATACGATTCGTATATTTTTCGAATTCATCTCATAGGATGATTCCTGTGTTTGATGTCACATGGACCACGCAATTCCATGGCTGGATCATCTTTCGGTCTGCACGGATTGTGTTCTGCGCAGTACCGTTGCTGTCACATTCATCACACGGTTTCTGTCTACTTGGTGGCACGCTATTGATCCTCCGAGTTTACTCATTTTTACGCCCCTAATCGAATTTGCTCCGACGTTCATTCTGCCACCCTAATTAAACGAATAGCAGTAGAAGCCATCCATCCTCAATTATCTAAACCGTTCTTGACGCAGAGTTAGATTTCTCGCTTTGTTCCGACGCCGTAACCTGATACTTCCATAACAGTAGCTCTACGTTTATCACTTAGATTGGGTGATCGGCTCACGGTACTCGACCTGCTGTATCCGTATGGGTATTGGTGAGTAGTGTTCCTGATAATTAAAGGGAAGGCACGGAGGTGAGGGGACGAATATTTACTGGTGTGTACAATGGTATCGTCCATCGCAATGAGGCTGGACCTTACCGTGGTGCGATGGTTTGTGTGCCTCAGTGATCCATTGAGCTATACTGGGTGGTGCTTTTGCGCCTTCAGAGCCACTCATACCAGATTGGTCAATGGTTAGAGGCCAGACAAACTCAGCCTCCTGGTCCTCCAGGTTGGGGTTGGAATGAGGGTGGCTCCTTATTCCTTAAAACGGACTCCTTGTAGTCCAGTGCCAAACCCGCTGCCTTGCGGACAGGTTTTTGAACCAAAGGCTTTGGTTGAGAACCCTAATCGTTCTCCTGTCTAGGCCTGGGCAACCTGACAGTATCCTGCCCACGCAATACAATGAATCTTTCCCCAAACAAATTGCTGATGCTCTGGCCACCGCAGAGGATAATCAACGGTGCCCTATCTGCTGCATCGAGCAGGGTGGATAGGGGTTTGGATGCTACTGCTCAAGCCTTCCCATCTTCTTATTCCCCTTCTTGCGCTTTTTCACCCTTATCGTCCCGTTCCAGCTTCACTTTTATCCCCCCTGTTTTCAACCTCCCAATTCTCGGCCCTCCCCCACCTTGCTTCAATAGTCGTTTGTCTTTTAGTTTCAACTCACAGGCGAACGCAGAGCGTCATTCCTGTCCTGTCAACAGGCCCATGTCCAAGCAAGCGGTCCATTCCAGTTCATCGGCTTCCATTTGGAGCCCTCGATCCTCCTTCAGACTGGCATGCCTCAATGTTCGCACATTGCTTCAGATCGGTCAACAGGCAGCACTTGCCCGAACATTAGAGACCCTCTCGATCGATATCTGCTGCTTATCGGAGACCCGCCTGCAAGACTCGAGCTCTGTACTCACTCTGCGATCCCCTTCAGGTGACACTAGCAGCACTTTCTCATTGCGCCTATCTGGTGACGATGCAGCTTCGAGCACCGGCCAAGCCGGTGTTGGTATTGCCCTGAGTCCCCGGGCTGAAGCTGCTCTGGTTGATTGGATTCCAATCAGTAGCCGGATGTGTGCGGTCCGATTGGCTGGCTCGTTCAAAACTTCGAAGTCGCGTGGGACTAACAGGTGTCTATTCGTTCTCGCTGCCTATGCACCGACAAACTGTAGCGATGACTCGGTAAAAGACGACTTCTATCGCCAACTGAACGAACTCCTTCGCCACAGAAGAAGCTCGGACACTGTAGTGTTGGCTGGGGATCTGAACGCTCAAGTTGGAAAATTATCCACAGATGAGCTGCATCTGGGCGGCCAACATGGTATAGGCTCCCGTAATGATAACGGTGAGCGGTTACTTCATTTGTGTGAGGATGCTCGCTTATTTCTTGCGAGCACTAATTTCCGACGCAGCACCCGCCGGAGGGTGACTTGGCGCCCACCAGCCTCGAACCAGCTATGGACGCAAATCGATCACATTGCTATCAGTTACCGCTGGAGAGGCTGCGTCCAGAACTGTCGCTCGATTTGGAGCACAGGTGTAGACACCGATCATGCACTTGTATGTGCTGACCTGCGGATGCGCTTTGGTGGACGCCCGCGACGATGTTGTGAGCGCATTGACACCGGCAGACTGGTGAAGCCAGCTGTTCTGAACGCCTATCAAATTACGCTGTCATCCGAGTTGGATAAACGCTCACTGGATGCAATTGAAGCTCACTGGTCTCATATGCAACAGGCCTTACTAGCAGCAGGCAAATCCTCATGTGGTATGTCTAATCGCCAACATGAACATTGGGTCTCTTCACAGTCTCTGGAACTTATCGATGCTCGCCGGCATATTCCGGCTGGAAGCGAACACAATGAAACTCGCAAAGAGCTCCGGGCAAAACTCCGTGCTAGCCTGAAGAGAGACCGCGAATCCTGGTGGTCTCGTCGTGCAACAGAGATGGAAATGGCCGCTGCCCTTGGTAACCATCGTGAGTTATTCCGTCTGATACGGGAAACGGGCAGCAGGAGACCTGGTGTTAGTGAAACTATACGTGACGAGAGTGGACAGCCTATCCACAACTTATCAAAACGCCTGGAACGTTGGGCTGAGCACTTTGAAAGGCAATTTAATCGGTCGGAATTGTTAGATTTCTCGCCGACCAGTGATCGCCCCGCTCCGTGGGCTGTTCCTTTGGATCCACCCTCTCGCTCAGAAGTCGAACATGAGATCGGACTGTTGAAGTTGAACAAAGCCGCGGGACCTGATGACCTTCCTCCAGCCCTCTTCAAATTCGGGGGACCTGCTCTTGTGGATGATTTACACGAGTTACTAGTGAGACTGTGGGAGCAGGAGACTGTCCCAACCGATTGGAGCCGCTCCATCATAGTCCCAATTTTCAAAGGAGGCTCACGATCGGAATGCGGCAGCCATAGAGGAATCAGTCTGATCTCCATCGCCTCCAAATTGCTTGCCTCTGTCATCCTTCACAGACTGACTGGCACTCGTGAAAGCCAGATTCGCGAAGAGCAAGCTGGATTTCGTCGAGGTCGTAGCTGCATTGACCACATCTTCACTTTGCGTCAGTTGTTGGAGCACCGTCACATATATTGACGGCCCACCGTTGTCGTGTTCCTCGATATCAAAGGTGCATTCGATTCGGTGGATAGACATGCACTTTGGGACTGTCTACTCAGGAAAGGTATACCTGAGAAATATATGAATATTATCCGAGCATTATATGCGCGTAGCTCGGGCAGAGTGAGGGCTTACGGCAAGTTGTCGTCGCCCTTTAATATCTCCAGCGGCGTGAGACAAGGATGCCCGCTGTCACCTTTCCTCTTCAACTTCGCTGTTGACGAAGTCATGGAAATCGCGTTTACAGGACACGACTTAGAAGGTGTGGAGCTACTCCCAGGAGAACGACTTCTTGATTTAGAGTATGCTGATGATATTGCCCTGATCTGTGACAGCTCACAAACGTGCCAAGCTGCACTGGACAGATTAGCACTAGCTGTCCGTCACTTCGGGCTTTGCTTCGCACCCTCGAAGTGCAAAGCGTTTCTCCAAGATTGGTCTGGACCGCCTCCTACGCTGACCCTTGGTGGGGATCAGCTAGAAGTCGTTTGGAAATTCAACTACCTGGGAAGTTGTATCAGCGCCCGTGGGATTGAAGATGAAATCACGAATCGTATAGCAAAAGCTCGGGGCGCTTTTGCTAACCTTCGCCACTTATGGCGCCGGCGCGACATCACTCTTGCCCTGAAGGGTAGAGTGTACAATGCAGCAGTACGTTCGACCCTACTGTACGGTTGTGAAACCTGGCCGCTTAGAGCAGCGGACATGAAGAGGCTAGTTACGTTCGACCACCAGTGCCTTCGTAATTTGGCTCACATTTGGTGGGAACACCGCGTGAGTAACGAGCGTGTTCGACGTCTTGTTTATGGCACAGGAAAAGGAACTGAACCGCTCAGCACCGTTATTTCACGCATCAGGCTCCGATGGCTCGGCCACGTGTTACGCATGCCAGCCCACCGACTCCCGCGACGTGTATTGTTTGCGCGCCGGGGATGTGGATGGAAGAAGAGGAGGGGTGGCCAAGCGATGACTTGGTCCAGAGGAATGAAGACCCTCACTTCGGAGCTGGCCTCGGTTGGAGCGTCTCGGCTCCCTGGTTGGGGTTCAAAGGACGATGAACACGTTTGGTTGGACACACTTGCTGATATGGCTAGGAGCCGACCTCAGTGGCGTTCGTGCTGTGAGTTTCTTTGTCCCACCCCATCCCTCTTAGCCTCCCCTCCAAACACGATCACATTATTTAGCCTTATATAATCTTGCATAATATTTTTTTTCTTTTCGGGTGCACAGCAGCCGGCTGGTAGCTTACCGGAACGATGCCCATCCGTTACCGGTAGCTCAGCCAGCTTGCACCAGTTGCTTTTTTTCTCCTTTTTTCTATGTATTGCGGCACAGTAGCTGAGGTGTTCCCCACCTCTAGCTAACGTGTATGATGATGATGATGATGATGACAGTGGTCTCGTGTATTTGCTAAAATTACCACATTGTTACTACGCTTGCTAGCCATGGAAGGGTGTCCGGATCCCGCGCCAGGAAGCGACGTGACGAATCCAACCGTGTCCACGTGTGTGTGTGGTACTCGCTGATCTAACCGACAAATTCAACACACTCTTCAATATTACATTGAACACCTAAGTGTACAATATGATGCTTTTTGTTAACAATTTACCCAACATACTCAGACGAACGTAGTGAATCTCCAGACCGCTACAGATTGTTGTTGACACTGTGCAACATCACTTTTATAACAGAAATGTGATAGGATGTTTCTAGTAGCACTAAGTGAGCTGATAACGAATATGCAAACCAGATCACGTCACGCTTTTAGTCTCAATTTTTCACTTTACCTAAGCATTGCGTTTCATGCATCGAATGCTCGCCTGTGATTGGTCTATTGGCTCCCTGTAATCGTGGAAAAGAAGTCCTCTTGGCCATGGTATCCACCTGATACTGAAAGTCGATTGAGAGCTGTGTTTCCTTAATTGATATCTTGATCATGGCTGAAAGACGCTGCTGTGTCAAATCATTTTTGTTACCTCTGTGGACAGTTTACTACTAGGTCGCACTGCATACCTATTTGTTCACTACTGAAGTCTACCTAGCACGTATATTTCGGGATGAAACTCTGAGATCAGGATAGGAAGTGAGCGCCGCATATTCTTTGTGTCTCGTGCGATCTTCATCTGACCCAGTAGCTTAAAGCCAAGATGCCCTTTGCAATCCCCAAAATGTGGATGGAGCCAAAGGAACACCTGACAGACTGCTTCTGCTGCCTAACCAGTGTCACTGGAATCTCCAACCGAAACAAGGACAAACATCATTACCCCGATCTTCCATCATCTATTCGACCTGTTCATCATTATTACACCTTACACATTCCAGTGCCTCCAGTGAGCATGGCACTGATGAGGAGTAGTGATTCTGCATCGTCAACTTCCCCTGATCCCAAAACCTATGAAAACTTTGAAGCTGGTGTTGTCAACCCACATCCTATTGAACAATTCGGACTGAATGGCTTGGTACGTGAACTGGGCTTGCCAAAAGACAAGCCCGGGTTGCTGGCATCACGGCTGCAGCAGTGGCACTTACTTGCTTTTAACGCTAAGGTTACTGTATACAGAAAGCGAAGGGTTAAATTGTCCGGTTCCTAGGACACGAGAGAAACCTTTTCTCACTGTTCCGACTTGGAAGGACTGATGAAAGAACCTGACGTGAGGCATATCAATGCTGAATGGCGTTTTTTCATTGAATCATCCAGGAGTAGTCTTAAGACCATACTACTCCACAACGGAAATGTGTACCCAACTGTGCCTCTGTTGCATGCCATCCACATGAAGGGGAATCACGGAACTATGCAACAGATGCTCGTTGCACTGAACTACGATAAGTACTGTTGAAACATCTGCGCCGACTTCAGTTATTAGACTCCTAATGGGTATGCAAGCAGGCTTCACAAAATATTGCTGTTTCTTACACCTGTGGGACGGTAGAGTGACTCAACAGCACTACACAACTGAAAAAATAGCTAGAGAGGACGGAGTATGCTGCAGGGGAAATAAGTGTAAAGCATACACCTATTGTGCAACCTGATCATATCTATCTACCAACCTTGCACACCAAGCTTGGTTTGATTAAAAACTTCGTCAAAGCCATCAAGCGAGATGGTTTTGCATTCCAGTACTTGAAACAAGTGTTTCCGAAGATCAGTGATGCGAAGCTCAAAGAAGGCATACTTATTGGGCCTGATATTCGCCGGATAAAGACAGACTGCTTTCGAATGCCAGTTGACTTCATTTTAGTTAGAAGCGTGGCGATTATTCAAGGCAGTGTGTATAGGATTTTTGGGTATAACAAAGGCAGTGAACTACAAAGACATCACAATAGGCTCATTGCGGACTATCGGGCTGTTGGTGCTCGAATGTCACTCAAGGTGCACTTTTTTGCATAATCACTTTGACTTTTTCCCTGAGAACTCAGGATCTGTTAGCGATGAGCATGGTGAGCGCTTTCACCAAGACATTTCGGTCATGGAGTAGCGCTACAGTACACGCCTTCTCGGATGGGTGACGCTTGTTGGTTTCTGCAGCGTGAGGACGCTAGATCATACAAGCAACGATCTCGTCGAAGTCGTCATTTCCCAGTGCCAGGCTGCATTCAGCAGTTACCGGCGCGTGTTGAAGTGGTTTGAAACCTATTTGTCACATAGATCCATTCTTTATATGTTGTGATTCAGTACATTTACGTATACTTCGTACGACGTAGCCTTAACATTACTGTAAGTAATCATTTGCTTATAACAATGTAACCTAACGTGCTAGGTAACATCGGAATACATTTCAACGATCAGTGGAGTGTATTCTATAAGGTAGGGACATTGGGATTTCTGTTATAGAAAATAATTTTTTGTTGTACTGTGTAATCTATTTATATTTCGGAGAACGCGGAATGTCTCATGCTATGGTCACTTTTCAAGGAGCTCCCGTCCTTTTCTTGCTTATCACCTTTTTTTCTCATTAGCAATACTACTAAATATGGATGTCAGCCATCAGCTGGCATTTGTTAGTACCGGCAAGTGAATTTTATCGTCTTCTCTAGTGCCTACCGCGTTTTTGACTTTTCATCTAATTGAAATTTGGTGTTATGTGCATTACAGTGAACCTACCTTGTTAAATCAGTTGTGCAGGTTTTGGTAGACACAAAGAAGTAGCTGTTGCCTTGGTTATCTTTCTAGTTTCCCTTTCATTACCTCGATCCTGGCGGTTGTCGAAAATCTCGTTAACACCCATGTTCCACAACTCAGCGTTTAAAGTATAGTAGAATCTAACGTATACGTCAAGTCCATTAGCCATGCTCTTCCCCACTGTTATTGTCTTTTGAAGCCGCTCCACTTAAAGACGCCAGGATGGGTCAAATATCAAAATGAAAGTCTGTCGCCTCTTGAGCGTTGTGGAGCGCCAGGGTCGTTCGCAGGGCGCACTTCGCATTCATTTGAATGGCATACGATCTTTTGAAATAGTCGCAGGAAGTATGCGTGGTTTATGAATTCTGTGACTCATTGAATAAGGAATGGAAAACTCAGTTTTGTGCTCATTCACTCCATCTCGTTGCTCTGGGGGCCTTCGCGATTGAATGCAGCTAAGCGTGTCGTCGGAAACTACGAATTTCAGTGGCATGAAACAAGCGGGGAAAACTGTCGTGACTGGGACATAATAATCACTGTTTGTTTGGAGAGCAGTTGCTCTTTGCCTTAGGACGCAAATGAGCGTGCTCGCATTTTACCATACCTCTGCCGCTGAGCTCTTTGAATTCGTCTGACTGTTGATTGAGCTACGGCGTCCTGTATCTTTTATGCATTGTATTCGAGTTAGGATACATTTTTATTATAGCGGTAAGTTTTCCTGCTGCTTGCCGATCCTATTTTCAAGTGAGTCACTTTTACCATTTCATTTCATCGAATCCCGTCTTAGTTTTCGTACCCGCACACCCCAATGTTAGTTTTCTTCAAGCAAGTCTACTCGCTTTGTTCTTTAAAGGACTTGTATGCGCACGTCGTCTTCATGTGGCTTTGTGCTTAGAGCAATGTCTACTCACCTAATCATTCACTCCCTGCATTTGCAAACATCAGACTGCATCGAAGTGATCTCCTTCATCAACACCTACTCAAACTACCTCAGTTCGACCTCTCCGAAGCATCATAGGTCCATCGGCTACTCTGTGGCGATAATGCACTTTTAGTATTTGGGTCGGACCCATCATAAGTCTTATTTTCTTCCATAATTGTACCCTGTTCCAGCTTGCTCGCGAGGTGCTTGAGGAGGCTGTGAATGCTGCCCGCGTTGGAATCACCACGGATGAATTGGACCGCATTGTACACGAAGTGAGTAAGCCTAGATTATATTCAAATGCGTATTGTGTCTGTTGGGTTACAATGTCTAATCGTCACATTATTTTATTAGGACGATAAACTTCATTTCTGGGTTCAAAGTGCGGTTTTCTTTCCGACGAGTTTGTCTTATGTAATAGGTGGAAATAAACACGAAAATTATGCATTCCACCGAGACTCCATTCCTGCCTAAGCGCATTTTGTTCTGGGCACCGTTAATTACGGCCCGCCTATTCAAGTGAGCCACTTTTCTGTTGTCTTTTATTCGTGGTAGTAGTTGTAGGGTATTTGCCTGATATAAAGAACGTGAGGTGTCGTATGTGCCTCCTCATTTCTGAACTTACCCCATTTCTGCACAGGCCTGCATCCAACGTGAATGCTATCCGTCACCCCTGAACTACTTCCAATTTCCGAAATCTTGCTGCACGTAAGTTTCGAAGTTTGCTCCTCTCCATTGCGTATCTTGATAGACTTCTACACTTCTATTACTTCTTCGATGATATTTATTGCATATTTCCCCCTCGTGCCGAATCGCTGCCTACTTAGTTCTCCACAATTTGCTTACTTGTGTACTTTAGAATGCTTACTTCGCTACAGTCCTTCGTCTTCTACACTGGTCACTGGTGGTGTACAAATCATTACCAATACCCTGCTGTCGCTCAATAGGTCAGTGCATAAACTCGATTAACACTGTTAGGACTAGATTGTTTGATGAATTTGAAATCATGTGGTCTCTGATAGATAATAGCAGGTGTTATAATTCAGTATAAACTGACATTATCCGATCAACAATGTATTGTTACGTTACGCGCATTACATAATAATATTCTGGCGAACTCCGTAACAACTTTCTCGTCTTCCTTTCTTCGTGCGAACTCGAGACTGTTGTCGCAGGGACACGGCAGATACGCGCAGCATGTGATGGAGCAATCAACGCAACTCACCTTCCTTCGCTACATACACATTTAACCAACTTCTAAATAGTGGAAAAGTTGCCCAGAACTTCTCTGGTAATTTTGAGTCATCTGACTTCACCTAGTTGTGATGACTTACACTGTACTCTTATATCACCCATTGCTCCCTTCTACAAACAGTTCCCATATCAAACCAGTCTATTATCTCGTAACATAGCTGGCCACAGTGTATCGGGTCTTCTCCATATATAGACTATACTTGCTCAATGCATGCCAGTAGTGTGTACTTGACAGTGAAGGATGAGAGCCACACCATATCTCCGTTCTGTTTTCACTCACGTCCCGGCACATGCAGGCGTCCGCGTTGGTCTGCGGCTAGTGATTTTCTTTCGAATGATCTAGCGTGTTGTCGCCTCATTACCGGCCGAGAAGACGAATGGGAACGGTTTAGACTATCTTGCGGTACCCTTCTGTTTACTTGTTTTTTCTTCCTGCTTGTTGTAGTGGATTGCTCCCAGTTTCGTACAGCAACTATCTGGTCCGTCATATTGAAGCACACTTCATTCTTCAGCTTTATGGTACATGAGGTTTGCAGGTAATGATGATAGCGTCTGCGCTTCATTTGCCATCGCGCGACGTTCTATTACCCGTTTTTTGCGATAATTTGGATGTTGATACTCACCATCCTGAAAGCGCCTCTACATCACACACGGTTGAGTGTGCCCGTTAGATCGCCTTATTTGTTCTTTCGCGGTTGACTTAATGTCAACAGTGCATGTTGAATCCGGTGATGAAGCTGAAGATGGGACACAGCGGGTCTCATAAACTGTTCCCAAAGGTATTTAACCCATTGTTCACTGTGGCCCATCTGAAAGTGGGTAACTTTTCATATTTCTCAGCGCTCATTTCCTTCATCGATTCTTCGTGCCTGTAATTTGGATCGCTTGGATCAATACTCGCCTATTCCCAATTTGTGCTGATCTCCACTTTACGGACCCCAGCATCTGCCAACTGTCCCAATCAATCTTGGCACTTAATCAGAAGCTGATTCTGAGTGCTGCGGAAACTCCGATATTCGCTAACCGGTAGAGTCATCATGCGCACTTCCCTCAATCTAATCGACGCACTAGAAATGCGCCGACCATTCGGATGCTATAGTATAGGTTTATAGTCTTCATGGTCTTTCGTAAACCTTTCCGGTATGCAATCAATACAGTCATACGGCTACTTACTGGCATCTTGTGTTTTTAACCAGGTTAATAGCTCACGTTCTTACAATTCGGGTGCTTTTCAAAGTGATGGAAAGTAAACGTAATGTCGGCAATCACTACAGTATAATGGAATCCCGACCGATGCTCCAAACCGACTAGCCACGTTTTCATAATATGTGCTATCACTGCTTGATACCGATCTCGTATGTTTCGACCTAGAACCGTTCCTCATCTGTTTACTTACTAATAACGCTTTGCGGACGTCCACCGAAACGCACCCGGAGGTCAGCGCAGGCAAGTGTGTGGTCAGAATCCACGCTCGTGCTCCAAATCGAGCGACAGTTTTGGACACAGCTTCTCCAGCGGTAACTGATCGCGATATGATCGATTTGCGTCCATAGATGGCCCGAGGCTGGTGGCCGTCACGTCAAACTTCTGCGGGTGCTGTGTCGATAGTTCGTGCTCACGAGAAAGAGACGAGCATCCTCACACGGCTGTAGCAATCGCTCCCCGTTATCATTACTGGAGCCTACACCATGTTGGCTGCCCAGATGAAGCTCAGCAGAGGACAATTTTCCGACTTGGGCGTTTAGATCGCCAGCCAACACCACAGTATCCGTGCTTCTTCTGTAACGAAGGCGATCATGAAGTTGCTGATAAACATCATCTTTTGTCGTATCAGTGCTGCAGTTTGTAGGAGCGTAGGCCGCAATGACAAACAGGCACCGTTTGTCCCCGCGCACATCCGACTGGCATCCAATCGATCAGGGCAGCTTCAACCCGGAGACTCAAAACAATGCCGGCGCCAGCTTGACCGGTATTTGAAGCTGCATCATCGCCAGACAGACGCAGTGAGAATGTGCCCCCAGTGTCACACGTGGGGGATCGCAGAATAACCACGGAGCTTGTATCTTGCAGGCAGGTTTCTGATAAACAGTAAATATCGATCGACAGGGTCTCTAGTGTGCGGGCAAGTACTGCATGTTGGACAATCTGTAGCCAAGTGCGCACGTTGAGGCATACCAGTCTTAGTTAGACGCGAGGACTCCAAAGGGAAACGGATGAACTGACGTTGTCCGCTTGGTTGAACATGGACTTGTCGACTGGATTGGAGCGACGCCCTGCGACTGTGCGTGAGTTGAAACTATAAGACGAGCGACTATTGAAGCATGGTGGGGGAGGGCCAAGAATTGGGGGATTGAAAATGGGGGGATAAAAGTAAAGTTGGAGCGGGACGATAAGGATGAAGAAGCGCAAGAAGGGAGATAAGAAGACGGGAGGGCCTGAGCAGTAGCATCCATACCCCTATCCACCGTGCTCGATGCAGCAGATAGGGCGCCGTTGAGTATTATCTGCGACGGCCAGAGCATCAAGAAGTTGTTAGAGGAAAGATTCATTGTATTGCGTGGGCAGAATACTGTCAGGTTGCCCAGGCCTAGACAGGAGAACGATTAGGGTTCTCAACCAAAGCCTTTGGTTCGAAAACCTTACCGCAAGGCAGCGGGGTTTTGGCACTGGAATATGGAGTCACCCTTATTCCAACCCCCAACTTGGAGGACCAGGAAGCTGAGTTTCTCTGGCCTCTAACCATTAGCCAAACTGGTATGGGTTGCTCTGCAGGTGCAAAAAAACACCACCCAGCATAGCTCAATGTATCTCTGAGGCACACGAACCATCGCACCACGGTAAGGTCCAGCCTCATTGCATCTCTTAGTCTTAGTTTTCTCAGGGCAATCATTTTGCGGTTTAACTTTGTTAACTGATGTTTACGCTGTCAACAATGTTATCATTTTGCGCATTTTCATCATGTCAACCATGGAGTCTACGTCGAAACAGGGGATAACAGACCAGTGTTTAGCAGTTGTTCCCTCCCGCTGTCAGAAACGAACCATGACGCTCACACTGACCTTACATCCCTCAGACTGCTGTCCTGTTTGATTTGGTTTCCATGGGACGAAGTTCATCTATTGTGAGTAGTCCGTACTGCACACGGGATTCGACACTCATCGGTGCCTAATAGATCCCGTTTCGTCCCAGCACACCCTGACATGGAGCATTCACACACCAACTGGTTTGATCGGTAGGTGTCTCCATTATTTGACTTGAAAAACGCCCACGCGTCATGTGTCCTGGACACTGTTGTCCCATCCCTCACCTGAAGGCAATGGGTGAATAATGCGCCACGTAGAACGCTTGGCGCTCCCCTCAACCGTATTCCCGCTCTGTGCTGCATCGGATTGTAACGAGTTCCATCAATCTGGCACATCATTCGCTACAAACATGCCGTTTATCAACCGGCTTATTTCCTAGTACAACCGAAACAATCCGCAGTTTAGCATGTTAGTTGACGACATTCTTGCCGTCTAAGTATATTCCAGACACAAGTTCGTCTGACTGACACATGCCGTCTTCCTGGATGGCGGTCTCGAGGCTGGCCGCATCAGTGGTTGGACGTCTTATCCAAGGTGTCTTAGTTGCACACCCACCGACGTTCTTATATTCGGCCTTTTACATTTGGTTATTAATTTTTCAGCCACGTTCATTTTAACCAAGTTATTGTAACCTTCCGTTTTCATTTCAACTCGCATTTACCCGGCTTCCACAAGCACCGTTACTTTTCGTTATTACGATACCATGAGTCACGACAGCCAAATACACCGCACTCCGGTGCTCGGATCACAGTGATTCTGCTGAACCGGAGTGCAATTGTTGGCTAGAGTTAGCGATTTGCACTGGATAACCATTTGGTTTCGATGCTTCTGTGCCCTTTGAATTAACGACGCTTCTCAGTGAACTCCGGCGACCATCCTGTATGCACATTACGAGACGAGTTACGCTGGAATGTATACTTGGTTTTCTACTGACATGTTTATTGACGACTACCTCACCCAATAGTTCGCTGTGTTGCATACTACCATAACAGAACAACAATTTCATTACCGGTCCAACAGATATGCGTCACCGCATCTCCTATGTTATTATGATTATTTTCCAACACGCGGTTGGGCTATGTGACTGGCTCTCTAAAAGTCATCCGTAACGTCGGCCTACTCTGACACTTCGCGCGGCTAAGTAAGCGTTTCGTCAAGCGCTGCTGTGCTCCCTCGGTTCAGACGTGGAGGTCTGACTGGACACTCGAATACGGGCCCCCAGAATTAATAGCTCGCGGTGCACTACTTTATTTTCTCCTCCACTGTGGGAATGAGGACAATCTGCTATTCTCTCTAGATCTCTGTCCGTTTGCTTTGGATTTCCAGTTTTTCACATGGAGGTCGGAGTCACAACCCTGAGTTTTTCATCTGTGCGCAGTTCCATCTGCTCCGTTAGAACGGCCTCAGCCTAGGCAGTTCCCACCTGTCCCTTTCGTCCAATGTCCGATGAGACTAATACGTCTTCCTCTGTTTTCCTCTTAGGTTAGATTAAATTGGTCCACTTTTCTAGTCAGTGTATTTTTATCACGATTCCATCTGGTTAAGAAAGTACACCATTAAGCGTTTTTGTACGATCACAGTGCTTTTCCTAACTCTTTGCACTGACATTTATTGTCGGCATCGTTCTACCTCACCGTCCGTTCACGTCACTCCACGGTTGCTTTTACCATTTATGTATCCTCTGCTTTACTATTTCTTTTGGTGTTTTTTGACGCTTTGTGTTACTTATTAACAGCTCTATCAACGAGGTTATTTGTCACGGCATTCCAGATGGGCGTCCTCTCCAGGACGGGGATATATTGAATCGTAAGTTCCTCCGATCTGTACTACGTGTTTTTCATGCGTGCACCGGTGTCAGATCTTTCATCCTGTCTGAAACAGCTTGTTAGCCCAAAAGGAACAATGTGATGCCGCTTTTTACCTCAGGTCTTTACAGAACCTCTTTCATTGTAGAAAGGAGCTACACTTTATTAGGGTTACTGACAAGATATCCCCCAATCGTATTTGCGTGATCAGATTGGCGCTTAAGCGCGTCTTGTTGAACATTTCTACACAGAATACCATAGTGGTCATTCCGCAACGTGACTTATTTGCCATATCATGCAACCTGATTACCACAGGACGCGCTTCCACCGAACTGTATGTGTGTGGCATTTCGGTACTCACGTTATCTATCACATTTTTCAAATAAATAAATGACATGTATATTCTCGATGTTACATGAGGCACACCAAGGAAGGCATGATCAGTTTCGTACAAGCGGATATGCCAAAATTGCTGTTTGATCAAGTATTAATCTGGGCAAGTGTAAGTTATGAGATTCCTGAGGTCCAGAACATGAGATGTGATTGTAATAACTGTTTACACTTTGAAGTAGCAAACTGTTTTGCAAATGTGTAGAAGTAATAATATTAATAATGTGAAGAAGTCGACAGACGCGAATGATGATTTATATATTTATCGCAAGTAAATGTACAATCACCGACTCAAATTGTGTTTCGGTCAGTTGGATTGATTTGATCTCGAACCAATTGTTTGCAGCGGTATCCACGGTCACCTTTCTTCCATTTATCGCCCGCTCCTCGTAAAACATGGCGTCAGATTTCCTTGGCCCGCATTGGATCCCTATCGATATCTCGCCGAGTGAACGCTGAGCCTCATTTGAGTGGGGATCGGACCCTCTGATTAAGGACCATCCGCCGTTATTGCAAGGCCCCACAGGTGCCAGCCGACATGTCTGAAACACTCGGCAAGAAGCACAACGAACAACAGACAGCCAGACGGGAATACGATGAAAACGTTCAGGAAAAAGTGAAGAATATGCAACAAACGATTAACCGTTGAACCACTAGGTACAGCATATCTGCGTTGCCGTATATATATATATATATATATATATATATATATATATATATATATATATATATATATATGGCTGGCGCTGCACCACCCACAGCTCCATCCACACACCCTATATCCAGTGTAAACCCGAAGGAATAAACCGGGAGGCGTATGGACGGGAGCAAAGTTTCATCAACGGAGCCGGCCCACACTCCTTCACAGGCAAACACAAGCACGCTGCATTCGGGAATCAAGCGCACACAAGGCGGTGGCTGGACCGTAGTCCGCTCCACACTGAGTGCTTGGAACCACTGTTCGAGCCTAGCACGACCACAAGGCCCGCGCGCCCCGTCCTCTTCAGCAACGACCAGCTGTCTCCTTGAGCAAATATGGACGAGGTAGTGGGTAATAGACAGGAAGGCACCTTGCCAACATGCACATCAAGCGCAGCTACACCGGGGATATCAAGCAACAGCCAATCACTTGAGAGAAAGATAACAAAGGAAATAAATCGCGTAATGCTTAAGGGAACGGTGGTCTAAATCTTAAATTACTGCGCATATGAAATCGGTTGTTTACATGCGAATCCGAGATACGTTCACGAGGTCAGAAAGCCCATTTTACGGAAATGCCACAAACACGAAAATGTTATCGAAATTAACTACAATTGGCTAAAGCGACGTGTGCAAGTTTATAGAAACGAGTACAGGCAGACATTTAGATGAGGAAGAAAAGCATTAGGATAAAATTGAAAACCCACCACCTGAAATAAATGGACTTAGCATGTAAGCACGCGGTTAGTAAACCGAATGCAGCCAACCTACAAACGCTGCGCCGGTTCTGCCTACGTTCTGTGCAGGACCCGCCGTCGCTTCGGTAGCGGTGCCGAGTGGCGTCACTCATGGCTTACTAGGCCTGCCTGACTCAGGCACTCGCGACTGCGTGTGCTACAGCACCACGCGCTCGATGTCGATGGAGTACAACCCATCGGTGTTTGCCGCTTCTTCTCTGCATGTATGAGGTCTTTCTCCCGCACTTCGGCAGCTGCCTTCGTGATTAGATCGCGCCATGCACACCGATCAACCGCTTTCGATTCCCATGACCTGCAATCAAGATTAGAACGTCAGTGGCTCCCTTTAGTCATGTCCTGGTAACGTAACTTTGGTTTCCTATATATATCCCTTCGCATTTCATGCTGCTTATCCTTTCGTAAGAACACATTATATATATATATATATATATATATATATATATATATATATATATATATATATATATAGTGCCCCTTGCTGAGGCTGATGTTGCATTCTTGATGCTTCTTCACCGCAGTTGGGCTAAACCAACTTACACTTAAACTCGGTCTTTTTAAGCTGGATGAATTTCATTACGCTTTATTTAGTTTGTTCTGCCTCCCTGAATAATGTTCTATTAACTGGCCACGTTGCTTACACTAATTGCACTTATCTTCGGTAATTTTGTTGCGTTTGTAGCATTTTAAGTAACTTGTGGACATTTCTTACTTATCACGGATTTGTTGCTAACCAAATTACTTCATATGGTAATTTTGCGAAGAGTTATGCCACCGTATCTGTATGCATTATTGGATTTATTTTATTTCAGCTTGTCGTTTAAAGTGAATGGCTGTTGTTTGATATCCCTGGTATGGTTGCGCTTGATGTGTATGTTGACAAGGTGCCTACCTGTCTATTACCCACTACATCGTTCATACTGGCTCCAGGAGACAGTTGGTCGTTGCTGGAGGGGACGGGGTGCACGGTTTTTGTGGCCGTGCTAGGCTCAAAGAGCGGTTCCATGCACTCAGTGTGGAGCGGACTACGGTCCAGCCACCGCCTTGTGTGCGCTTGATTCCCCAAATACAGCGTGCTTGTGTTTGCCTGTGAAGGAGTGTGGGCCGGCTCCGTTGATGAAACGTGGTTCCCATCCGCATGCCTCCCGGTCTTATTCCTTCGGGTTTACACTGGATATGGGGTATGTGGTTGGAGCTGTGGGTGGTGCAGCGCAAGCCATCCATGGTCCCTCTGTAGGCACAGGCGTCCTGTGGCTGACCACAGTGACAGGCAAATCCGAAACCGGATGCCGCCAACCATATATATAGTGTGTTCTTACGAAAGGATAAGTAGCATGAAATGCGAAGAGGTGGGAGCTGGAGCTGGATGACCGAGAATAGGCCACCTCGTTTACGTCTATCACTCTCCTTTCTTGGCGTGCGCTGTTTCATCTGCAATTTCATCCATACACTGAAAATTCGGTTTGAACCCGAAGGAATAACACTGGAAGGCATGTGTTTGGGAGCCACGTTTCATCCACGGAGTTGGTCCACACTGTTTCAATTTACACAGTAGCATCATTCTTGTCAATCCATTTGAGGAATCCTGCGTCCTAGACGTACACAAGGCGATGGATAGGAGATAATCCGCTCCACACTGGACGCAACTCTTCTTCGAGCCCAACACAGGCACGTGGACGATGCACCCGTCCCCCTAGCAACGATACGCAGTCTTCTGGATTCAGTAATCAAAGTGGAAGGTGTTGGATAGGTAGGCAACTTGTCAACATTCACAGCAAGCGCAGATAAGCATTGCAAATCACACGGGAGGTTTAATGCGCCAAGCACACGTCTGACAGACAGAGAGATAAACAATCAGATCGACAGTCAAGTTTAGCGTGACGTGGACGACAATGCACACCATGTGCTTCATCAGCCTTGATCTTGGCTACTGCACAACTGCACTTCCATTCCTGTATACTGACATACATGCACTTGTGTATAAACTACCACGAACTGAGTGGAAAACGAACCCACACGAACAACAATAGTCATACAAATGTGAAAGAGTTGCGATTAGAACTAAGACCAACAGTCATAATCCTCAAGTTAAGATAAAGCTCGCTTGCTAACACCCAATAAGAACTGTTTAAATGTGAACCCAAATGACAGTCTTAATTGGACACCAGAAATATGTAGAGACAAATATGGGATTAGGGCAAGAAATGCCATCAACACGGCTAACAGGTGGAATGATACAACAAGTACAGTAAAGCAGAGATGATTTATCATTAGTGTGTATAGTATGTATACATTGTGCCTAATCAGGGCTTATAAATGTGGGTTACAGAGTGTGAGGGTGCAATGGAGCGTAGTCTCTCTGTGCCGCACCTTATGCCTGAACCAATTCGCTCGTCTCATATTCGAGGTATTTTCGGATACTTAAAGAATATCTCTAGCTCTAATGTCAGCTTTGGTAAGTAGTGATATTACCTACTCGCTGATGTCATCTTTTGTGCGATCACTGCAGTAATACTGCGAATGAATGCCCGCTGTTAAACATCCGACTTTCGAAAAGGTATCTACACTGTTTAGCAGATTTCCTAAAAGCAATGCCGTTGACGTTAAAGTACTCATACTTAGCCGTTGGCAAATGTAGCTGTGTACCCTACTGTGGTTATAAGCTATTTACAAATGGTCTACATCGCACGTCTCGAGTGCAGCCATCCAGCACTCAGCAACAATGGTAGTGTATGCTGATTCCTTTCCGCTTAAATATGCCAAGGCACTGACATACCAGTCGTAGTTGAACTGACCTAAGTTTACCCGAATACTGGCCATTTCCACTTCAACCTCTAGCGGACTTATCTACGTTTACGATAATAGCTGTCTTTCCATAACCACAGCTGTGTTAAGTATGGCGGACGGACAATGATAAATGTAGATATGCTCACTCTCGTGACTGACATGCGAACCAGAGCATGAAGCATCTATATCATGGTAATTACTAGTTGATTACCGAAGTTATTCACTGCACAAATTTTCCAGAGCGATTTTTCTTGGCATGATTACATGCCCAATGTGGTTATATACTCCAGATTGCGCAATTTACCCCAAAGCGCGGAAGCTATGTTTTCGGGTACTTTAAGCAGTAAAGAGCCTGGATGCTTAGATCAGC